ATGTAATAATGCCTCAACCCTCTAGGAATAGCATGACGTAACGTGCAATGTGTTAATGATTGGAATCCAGCGTCCTAAAATGTGAAGGTGGTACAGTAAAAAAGCCTTAGAAAAGGTTTAGTTATAAAAACTTATTTGTGTACACGTGATGTTTGGATAGTGCTACTTTAAACATCATGTCTAGGAATTATTAAATTGCTAAAACCGTCATTGGTGACGGAAGGAATTGAACATGGGACAAAAATCTCACACTCTAACCACTAAACTAGCTAGTCTCTCTTTAAAAGGCATTATTGCAGCTTGCCATGAACCCCGTGAGCTGTAAGAATAATTGTTAAAACATGAATGTTGTTTGAAAAATTAAAAAAAAATCCAATCATATCATAGTAAAAATGAAATACACCAGCTAAAGTATATTTAAAAAACTTTTCACAAAACATGATTTAAAATCACCGCCTCTTTAATCAACAGGGTTGAAGAAACTACACTCGAATTTTGATTATAGTCGGGAGCGAGTAAACTTTCTTCATTTGAATATATTAGAATATGAATAAAGCAGGAACCTGTGTGCAGGAACCGAATCCGCCCTTGCTTGTAGATTACAATTAATTTGCATGCTTAAACAACAACATACCTATCATTATATATTATTTTTATCTACTAAACTTTTAACACATTAAAAGAATAAGTAATTTTTATACACGCATTTGTGTGTTATTCAATTCTGTGTATGTGATATGATAAAGTGTTCGCTTTATAACTTATGTTACTAAAATAGTTTACTAGCATAATTTTACAGTCAATTAAAACCTCGATGATAACTAGTCCCTTATTGTATAGGGTATAAACGCCACGTAAAAAGTGTTAGATATTAAAATGTGGAATGATATGAGTACGTTTGCAATAAACCTATGTCTAAGCGATAACAATTTCACCTTTGGTGCCTAACCTAAGAAACTTGAACTTTTAAACTATTTTACCTATTTAAGTTTTTCTATATTACGAAATTTATTATTCAAGCTACTACTGACAATGTATTTAAATGGGTTTAGTCAATGCTTCATAGATATATTTAAGTTCAAATCGAGTGTAAATATATTTTTTCCTAGTCGGTAGATGCTAAAGATGCTTTATATTATTGATGACACTTTCTTTATCTACATGACTGCTCTGATATGATCTGTCTACTTTCTTTATTCGCTTTACTGTTCAGATGGCCAATTAGTAAAAAAATAGTTGTAATGTGATATACAGCAGACATTTAAAATAGTGCTTTAATTTTCTGTTGACTATTAATGCATTTTAAAAATTACTAAACAAATTAAATATCATGTTCTTTGAAAGATTCTTGATGTTACTGAGTTTAAAGGATACTTACACCCGGCTTCTTAGCCGGGTCTTCGTAATAAAACCTGGCGTGTTAAAAAGAAAACATTATCATCACCATTATTATTTTTAAGACAGCCAAACAGTAAAATATGTCTTGCGAATCAATTTGTCATAGGGTTGGCTCAAAAATAAAATTTATCTATTTACTTTTAGTTACTTTATAAACATAAGGTTGATATTGTACCTGAGTTTATTCAAGGTGAACACCAACTGCTTAACTGACTGCACTGAAATTACAAACAATAGTTAAACGTTAACCCAGTAAGTCTATAAATCTTTCCATATCCTTAATGTACCCTCACGATACTCTCTATGGTCGTCCAAGGTTTCGCTAAAGATTTAGAACGTGAACATTTCCTAAAGGTCTGCATAAAAAATTGACGATAAGGTCAACGGGCCAAGAAAACACAGCAGGAGACATACATTTCGTGAGAACAACTGTAGAAGACTACATTCTACCACAATATTGACATTTACACAACTAAGACATTTCTTGTCGGCCTTTGAAAAAAAGTGATTAATTCTACCCCGCCAAACAGCTGGTTAAATTAAAGCTAGGAGGGTTCTACAAAACTTAATGTTACAATAGATTTTTGAAAATTTACCACGATAAATAATAAGGTGTAAAACTCACCTTTTTCAGTAGGTTTGTGGAATTATGTCACAATTAATTATCCCCATCTGCGACGAATGGATGAATCAACTAGCTTACATGTATAAAACCACTGACATAACTTGGTGATAAAATAAATATATACAGACTGTGGGAAGTACAACACCTGACATAAATCCAGGTCCGAATCTCGGAGTAAGTTGGTAGAGTTTCCACGAATAAGGTAAATGTCACAACCAATCTGATCTTATCCCCACCACACGTCAGTTTAAGCTTTGATTATATCTTTCCTCGGGTATAAAAGGATTGTGTGAAAAATGTATTTTTTTAAATACAATAATTTACATCCTCTTAAAGTAAAGTATGTGAGTAAAGTAAATGGTTTAAAATCACAAAAAGTATTTAGTTTTGTATTTTATCTTTTGGTAAGCGAATAGTAATAAATATTACCTACACAGTTATTCTGTTTGTCCCTACTTTGATGGGTTATTATGTTTCGTAAAAGCTTACATTATTGACCAATGAAGTAGAGAAAAAAGTGAAAATGTTGTCTCCTTAAAGCGCAAATAGGAAACAAGCTAGTTCAGTGGGAGAGCGTGGGACTTTGGTTCCCGAAGTCCCGGGTTCAAATCTAGCCAACCACCAAATGTATTTTTTCAAAGAGATAATGTTGCTACTACTAGGCATCATTCAATGTGAAATACAATCCTTTATCAGAGCCTAGATTCAAAGGAAATAAGGTGCATACTAATGTTAAAACATGGGCTCTTCTTACAATTTACTTTCAATCTGCGTTAAAACCAGGTTCTCCAAGTTAATATTGATATTTACTCCGTATACATAACATAATGTGTATCATAGACTAGTAAAAGGTTGTTTGTCCTAGTTAGATAATTAATTGTAAAATGTTGGTACATGTTTCAATAAAATAAAGTATTATATATAAATTATAATTAGTTATTCAATGGCTTTAGTCTGTAATCAATGCAAAAACAACCTCAAGCAATAAAGTAACCTCAATGCAAATACTTTGGGTAAGTTGGTTAAGATTTTAAGCATGTGGTGAAACTAAGAAGTTCATGGAAAAGCAGGGATTGTTTGGGTAAGCTACAATTTATACAAACATTTAGAAATATGTAATAGAAATCATATTGAAAAATATGATGAAAAATATTATTATAAAACTACAATAATTTGACGTATAAAAAGACTTATCTAGCTTGCACAATATAGGACTCTTTGGTAAAATGGTAACATGCCTTTCACACATATGCTTTCGTAGACTTGAGTTTTGAAACCTATAAAAAATATCCCTGTCCGGATACTACATATTTCAACAATAGTTATGGAAACTCTTCCTGTAATATTAGTGGAAGTAGGGGAAGAAAAAACTGAAAAAAATCTGAAAAGACCTCACTTACAAATAGCTATTAATCATGTTAATAAATTAATCTAGTCTTATACTTAGTCTTAGTCACTCAGTCTTAGTTACTTACTTAAACTAGACTTCAGTAATGGGGTGTACTTCATGCAAGACTACGTAGTGGCAGCAGCTTACATTTCGAGGTAACAGCTGAACCAATAGCTCTTTTGATTCCCTAGGTCACTTAGGAAATAAAACTGAATACTTTCTTAGGACAGACAAAGTCCTAGTCATATTGGTTCCATCAAAATGTTAACGTCAAAAGATGAAGTCTAGATCCTTGGGTAAGATTCTTCCTTTGAAAATTAACACCCTTCCACCACAGTACACAACACCGATGTTAGAGTCCTTGAGTGATACGTACTCTTTATGCATCTAGAAACCCATTGAATATTGGTTGACAATTCTTTATTATGTTAAATAATTGACAATGAGGGAACGAGCTGGTCTAGTGGTTAGAGCGCATGACTTCGGTTCCAGAGGTCCCGGGTTCAAATCTCGCCAAATCACCAATGGATTTTATCCATGTGATATTGCCGCAACTCCTAGGTATAGCCTGAAGTAATGTGAAACACAGTTCCGGTCTCGTGCCTAGCGTCCTAGGAAAAAAAGAAATAATTAACAATATTAACTGGCGACATATAACGCATTAGTGCTTTAATGCACAAGTTTCAAGCGACAACCTTATCTACACCTCTGGGAAATTTACTTTTCAACATTAATACTTCAGAACATTTCTAGATTTACAAATTTAATTAAAAAAATCCTTATTTGGGAAATTTTTTACAGTATTTTAAATTAAATTCCTAAATCTGGAAACATTCAGCATGAATGTTGGAAAGTAAATTTCCCAGAGGTGTAGATGAAGTTGTCGCTTGAAACTTGTACATTACAACACTAATGCGTTATATGTCGCCAGTTAATGCATACTGTACTTTGATCTGTTGTATATTTGATACTTATTACTTTACATATGCTCGGACTGTATCATACCGAAATTATTAACTATTAAAATTTTTAAGTACTTATGTAATAAGATTAAATAAATATTTATCAATACATGCTTTTGTTTTTTCAATACAAATTATTTGTTTCTTGAAAATATATTGTATCTACGAAATGTTACAAATAAATGTTAAACACATTGGATTTCTATAATATAACAAAACAGAGGAAATTCAAGTAAGTTTTACATTTTATTTAGATAGTTGCTGAGATATGATCATATGTGAAATGACTATGTGTAAGAGAATGGATTGGATTTGTACGTTGCACTGTTTCGGAATAAGATCAGCTAATTCTTCAGTCAGGGCTTTTTATTAAAAGCCAAATGATTAAGAACAGCTGGGTTGAGTTTTGAACCCCCAAAAAGCTAATGACTTTTCTCAGGATCGAACAGGCAGCCTTCTGTTTAGTAAAGTAAGTAAGCATTATATTCACTCAGAGTTCGCTTATTTGACGAGCTGATCTGTTTTATTCATACAAGATATAATTAATGATAACAATATCTTTAGTCGAGTTTCTTATCATTAGTTGTTCGTATAGTAATTGATAATGTTTTGTTTTAGGCCGATCTCACATTGTTACACAATGTTAAATACGTAGGAAAATCTTTCATCATGAAGCCAGTACAAAAAGCGAGTAAGTATTGTAATATTTAACTAAATATGTGTTCCGTAAGAAAACAATTTCCCTTGATAAAGATAGATGCAAAATCAATTATGATTGTAGCTGGATCAATGATGACCAAGGCTGGATTCGTTTTTTTGTAATATTTTTTCCCTAAACTAGTTATAAATTTATGTTTTTTTTTTACGATGAAGTTATCTGATAGTATTTAAGAATAAAAAAAACGTATTAGTTTAATTTTGTTAATTGACTAAGTTAAGGAGTATTAATTTAATTTGAAATACATCTTATTGATTGTAAACACAGTATTTCATGAGTGTAGTCTATCTAGACATTTTGGCATGTTTTGGTAGCTAAACGGACAAACTAATTGTAAGATGTATCAAACATAATAACCTAACGGAGGAATTAAATGTTTAAAATACTGAAACATATTCACATTTAAATTGGTGTTACCATTAGCATTAATTGTATTAAGTGATATTTATTTTATAAAGATTACACAGTGATTAATACAAAAGTTTTAATGTGGATTACTTTTAAATTAGAACAGTTTTATTTGTATAAAAATGGAGTTATATCTTCAACTTCAGCAGATAGTTTTTTTCCAAAAATAAAAATTTCCTCAAACAATTTCGAAAAGAGAAAATGTTACTACAATATTGAAAAAGTATTCTTTAGGAACGCTTGGTTTGGGCAACAATGTTTATAGATTACACTTATTATAGTTGAAACTGTATTATTTATCTTTGTTTTTAGAGAAGGAGTTCGCCCCGCTAAATATAGTGCCTCGTGACACATGGGGGGCGCTACCTTCCCGGGGGACTCTGGAGCCCCTGGTACCCCCCTATAAATATTTGGCGTTCACACACACCAGGACGAAGGAGTGTTACAGCAACGAACAATGCATCAAGTTTGTGAAGGAACTACAGATTAGAAATATGGAGGAGGAAGGAATGCCTGATGTTCAGTTCAAGTAAGTTGTTATAGTTGAAGGTACTTGATTTATGAAATAATGTTTAAATTTTGACCCCTTATTTGTCAAGCCGTGGGGCGATAGTGCTAATGAATTGTGTAATTTCAATATTGTTATGGTGGCAAAGGCTTTTAGATATTTTCATTTGAGAAAATGTATTAGCCCAAGAAAAGAAATAATACAGGGGATTCAACATTTGTATAAATCCATTTGATCTCCACTGTCTTGCTTTGTTAAGCAGACATATCAAACGAGTTTTTTTTTTTAAATGTTACGGGTCCTATCACTTACAAAGTTCCTTTCTTAAAAAAATCTTGCAATCCACCAACCTCCATTTAGCTATAGCTTGTCTGAAAATCAAAATGACGCCGGTTCAATCCTAAGAAAAGTTAGTAGCTTTTCGAAGGTTTGTTGATTTTATTGTTTAAACTGCTCTTGCTTGGAAACAAGGCTTTCATCGCATCCATTCAACGTTCATCAAGCCATCTTCACCTTAAAGTCCGCACCCCGTTCTGTCAGGGGCGTGCACAAAATAATCTGTCAATCAATATGAAAATACTGGCCAAAATAGCCCACCTTAATATCAATGATATACAGATCTATTATTGACCCATCCTGCATTAATATTCATCTGAATGTTCGCAAAGTTCGCAGCTGTCTTAGTGATGTGATGAAATTGTTTCTCATAATTTTATAAACTATTATAACATTTGTATGTTGATGCAGTGGTGGTGTGTAGTTGGATCGTCGGGTGCAAGGGTAACGTTTACGAAGGCAGGGGGTGGAACTGGGCTCCCACCCTTACAGAGGACCGCCACATAAAGCACGCAGGACAGGACATTCCGAACACGGTAGTGGTTGCGTTTATAGGCACCTTTTTGGGTGAGTTGTTTGGTAAAGTTGAGTGAGGTAATGGAACATGTAATAATTTTAAGATAGAAAACTTTCGTAGAAGCAAAGCTGGTACAATTCTTCCGCTTCCCTTATGGAAGTGGAGGTAGGAATTAAATATTTAGGTCCTCAGATCGCTACTTCAGTTAAGAGTATTAAATTATTAAGACACCAATAAGTTAACAGTTGACGTGTTATATAGTCGTATGCATTTTTACTTATACCTAATTATGGTGTAAAGGACATATTTTTCAAGCACTTCTAATACAGCTAGAAGAATAGAAGGAACATGTATTAGTAACGGCAATAGCCATAACTTCAATGAGATGTATTTTGCATACTTTCCAATCAATCATTGCAAACATGATTATTTTCCGTTTATTATAACACAGTTTTTCTGGATGACTGTTGGTTTTCTATAGTTCTCAATCGTGTTTCAGAGTGTCCCAAAAGTAATTTACGACCCACATGGTTCATTAAACGGCCTTTGTTTTTTTATTGGTGATCCGTCCCAACTACGGTAATATTACTAATTGAAACACCGTGGAAGCTTGTGATGTAGGAAACCTATTCATTATTTTCTTGCACTTTCAGATATAAGAAAAGTCTTTAAATATTTGGCTGAACTGCTGAGTAGCTATGTTGTTTGCATTGATATCTGAAGCCTGCTGGTTTGATTTCAAGCATGACAAGTCCTGGACCCAGATACGATCATTTGCCATTTGCTTATCATTTAATGATAGAAACAAGACAAGAATAAGATTAGTCCCTTATAAAAAAAAACTTAAACAAAATCGAACGAAAAAAATCAATTCATGCATATTTAGACTCCACAACCACAAGGTCAATAAACCTCATTTTTAATACTTTTTTGCTTAATTCTCACGAAATTTTTCAGATAGACTTCCATCGGACGAGATGTTCAACACATCATCACAAATAGTCCTAGTCCCATATTTTGAAAACAAGTATGCCGACGGTTTGAAAATTATGCCGCACATTATAACAAAGCAAGACAAAAAGGAAAAGACTCCGGCCATTGAAAAGGATCAAGGCCAAAAGCCGCAAGCTTTATCCAAGGAGGATGCGATGCTTAAAAAGCGCTTGAAGAAATACGATAACGTTGAAGAAAAAAAGAAACTCTTCTTCAATGTGAGGGATGGAGAAGAAGAACATTTAAAGCCGGACGAAGCTACTTAAATATGACGTTGAAGTTGAAAATTGTCAAGTAATCTATAGTTGCGTTTCATTTTGGAGTTGTCATAAATAATGTTTATTTTCATTTGTGTCTTTCTTTAGTGTTTTAAAATTATATTATACATAATGAATAACTTTGGTTACAAATATGGATATGTATATAAACTAGATTTGTAAGAATAAATGCGGCTTTTTTGTGACTTTTATAAAAAAAATTTATCAAATGGATCGAAAAAATGAATAATCAATTTTGTTATAATTTGAGAAATGTTATCAAACAGCATATGATTTAATAACAATTTTGGGTACCATTATTATGTTTCTTTTTGTAAACTCAACGTAAACAAAAAACATTTATAATACCTACTTGATAACTTGTATCAATAGTCCAAATTAAAAATCGCATCACCAAAGTACAATCCTATTGTCTATCACTAGGCTACTTATTACTACCCGTTTCCTCGTATTTAGATTAAATTATGACTTTTTACATGCCCTTTAAAAAGTTGACAAAAAATAAATCGTCCAACCCTTTTTGACAGGATGTTATGAGAGCTGTGAAAAAAATAACCCATGTATAACGTTTATGGATATAGTCAGTGCTGCCACAACATTAAACAATATCACTATCAGGGTTGCCACCCGGATAACACTTAAACGCGCTTCAGAAAATAGATTTAAGACCAAAATCAGTTTTTGTTTTAAGAGTCTTTGATATTAATATTTTAAATTTTTTTGTGGTATCGCACTGTTAAAGAAATAAAATGGTACTCATAAAATTAAAGAAACTATCTGGTATTGAATGTAAAAGTGCTTAAAATATTTTTGTTAAAAAAGTCTGGCAGTTTATAAGATTTAACTTTCAATGTAATTTCACAGCATGTATGTTTAAGAGTAGTAAATGACACAAGTAAAGATTTCTTAGTATAATTCCTTTTATAACACAAGGAATAAACTTTCCTACTTAATTGTTGAAGGAATTGCTAGCAGTTCTATCTAAGTAAAAATATTAGTTCAAAAACGTGTATAACACATAAATACCATGAAGTTGATTTATTTTAAACATAAACCTAATGAAAAATTAAATGTTTTATTTTTTAGGTACAACCGTAATACCAACGCATGTCTGGTATATGAAACATAAATACTTGTTGTAAATCAAATACCAAGCATTTTCGAGTGTTTCATGTATATTACCAATAAAATGCTTTTATGATTTTGTCTATTAAATATTTAAGTATGTACTCTGATATTATAAATTAGCTTAGTTGATTTAATGGTAAAAGTGAACACTGAACAACAACGTTGCCGTACTTACTTGACAAAAATATATTTTCGACCGTTTTCAATCTCCTTAAGGATTTTAAGCCCATCAGGGAATATGTTTTGTACATCATGATACTAAACCCAAAGCCCCAAAGGTATATTCTAAATCCACAAAGTCTAACTTCAACTTACACACAACAAACACACTGAACTAAGTCTAATTTAACATAAGTAATAACTAAACGTAATCCACACCAACAATACTATTCGACCTTGCAGTGAACTTATGCGATAAAAGAAACACCTAGTTTTTTTAAATCCACATTTTTTGAAAAATGATGTTTGTAGGTAACGTAAAGTTTACGTGGGAATAAAAACATTGTAAAGGGACGTTACACTTGCAGAAGTATCAATAAACATCTTGTAAACGGAGTGGAAAGATTTCCATTCGATTGCCAGAGAATAATCAGGTTTTCGAAACCACTTTCCTTGCCAAGAATCTTCTGTTGGTTAGATATTGGTAAACGCAATGAAATGTAATTTACATTGAAGTATTATCTGGTATGCTTGCCCGGGTAAACCGTTTAGCTCTAAATATTGTAATTTGAAAATCTTTATATAACTTTATCATTTGTACTTTTTTATTACACAGTAAAATACATTTTACTATTTTCTACTCACTTCGGGCGTTTAGCAACTGTGTTTAAAGTTAATGCTAAAATACGTTTTATTACATGGAGTGGATTAGGAGGATTAAAAATGTTTAGTCCTCCTAGGGTTCTATTGTCATCAGGAAAACTGTTGAAGCTCTGATGAATTCAGCCATATAATGTAGAAAAAGTTGATGATACACGAAATAGTTATTTGTGTAACTTTTCTCTCATGTGCAGCAAATGAACTTTGCACTCGCACTACAGATTATATTTTTCATACAGTTACTGTAAATCTTATAAATAACTAGTTTTTCAAACACTGTACAACAGGTTACAACTGTAACCGTTTTCAGGTTAGGTTAAATCCAAGTGTTGAATAAAATGAGAATCGCTGCACCGGCTGATCGTAGTCGTAGTATCTTTAAGTGTTGCCAACTTATTTTGAAGCGTACACGTATTATGTGCATAATAAAAGCACACGGTTTTGTGTTATTTGGTTAAAATACTGGAGTGTGGCAAAAGAAAATGAGTGTGGCAACAGTAGGCTAATGTAGCAATTAGCTACTTTGCGTACTATAATACGTGCATGGAAGCCCACTTTGTCGGGGGACTGTAGAAAAAGACAATTGTAAGGAAACAGTATTTGACCTCTAATACAGTGCAAAATAAATAAAATACATTATTTCCAACAACGTTAATAGTTAGCTTACGCTGAAGTTACACACACAGTTAATGTTAAATACATTTTAAAAATGTAGTGGAGATGGACTTTCAATATGTTTGCGCACTTTTAAATATTCTATACGGTGACGCCCTGTAAATACAATTTTGTAAATCGTTATATATCATTAAATAAATTTAATTTCAAATTTAAAATTTTGTACAGCTATTTAAATGGTTATTGTGTATTTATAATACTAAATTATGGGGGATCAAAAATATAAGAAAGCAAATTAATCAATTGCTGAAAGGTACAGTGAAAAACTTGTCGTTGTGCAAAGGAAATAAAAAAATTCCCAAACGAGTACTTTTAAGTGCTTGATAAACATTTATTTCATATCATACAATGTTTTGGGCTTTGACAGGTTTCAGAGCAACAAGATCAAATATAAAATTAAATTTATGATATTTCCAATGTTGTTATTATGTATCGTTTATTAAAAGTAATTTTTTAAAATCACTGATTGGCTTTTTATACTAACTCAATGAAATAATCCATACACATAATTAAATATATAATTATATAAACAACGTAGTAGAAATGAATGTGCGTCAAAACCTTCTTATCCTAAAATCAAACCTTGTTTGGAAAGAAATCGAAAACTAAAATTGTAAAAATATAGTGAGTTTACAAACAAGTAAAAAGTCCCAGAATTGACCAAACACAAATGTAAGGTGTACCTAAATCACAAAGAAACCCTTAAACGATTATTCCTGATGATTATTGCCATCGGTTGAACGAGTACACAAAAGTTTCGTATATAGGTGTTTGTTCCGCTGAGCATAGAATGGTTTTCCGATAAATAAGTTTTGATAGAGTTTAGAAAGTTATTATTAGCTATTGAACTAAAAACATTAGCTGGTCAAAGTTTGCTTTAATTTAACTAAGAGCAATTAAGAATGCCACAGCTATTAATATTTTATTGGAACATTGTTGTTCAATTCTAATAAAAGTTTTTTTAAATTGTGTTTGGTACTAATGATTTAATAAAGGTAATTGTGTACCTACAGAAATGTAAAGTTTTCTTTACCATAGCTTGTTCTTGCTATATACCTTTACCTAAGAAATTATTTAAGTAATGTTTTGTGTTGAAAGCAGGAAGTGTAGGAATATTACAAGTTAAAGAAATTACTAAACGGAAATCATTCTTAACAGTTTTTGTATTTTCCAAATACAAGTTTTTGCAAATACAAGAGCATTTAATTTTGTTAACTAAAGTGCATTTTATGTCCTGTAAGAAAGGGGATTAACCCTGTACGCACGGTGATCATCTACGCAGACACTCTGTTCACATTACATTTAGTCGACCAGTTGGTGTGAAGAGAGTTGAACAGTAGCATGGGCATCGATTTTAAAATTCCTTTCCCAGCTGACGTGAGCTAGGCGATGACCGGTAGGGCTGACTTCTGAGAAGCAACTATAACCTATAACTATAACTATACCCTATCGGTAATCAGCACCCTTTCTTACAGTCCCTATAAACTAACAAAGAATAAAATCTATAAGGATTTTATAAATCTTCAACAGTAGAAGATTTATGAGATGATCATCAAAAGCTGGCTAAATATTTAGACTAATTAATATGTAAATAGCTTTATATTTTATAGTGCTGCTCCTGATACGAGTAGTAGGCTTAACTTTATTGTACTATACAGTGTCTCTTCCTAACTTAATCCGCAATTTCTACATTCATACTCTGTTGCAAATACCGGTTAATAGTGATTGCACTAAATCTTGCACTCTCCTGTAATATTTGTTAACTGAATAAATATATTTATTTTAGGTTTAAAGCCATTTTATTAACATACCATAAAACTAATTTAGCCTTAGGAATTTTAACATGTTAAGATGATTTTGTTATATTGGTAGGCCCTACTTTTATGCCATTCACATATTGTATAAAAAAATAGTACAACCCAAAAATTACTCTTTTATAATCAAAGGTTTCGATATACTAAAAAAATTGTAAAAATATGTTTTTATGAAAGCAATGTGTAAGTTGAAATAAAACAAAAAAAAAAAAAACATACAAATATACCTAGTATAAAACAGCATACAAGACAGGCCATGTTATTTATATTATAGTCGTGATAAATAATGTAAACATAATTACATCAAACTGTACTCAATAGTCATATCCATATTAATCCATAAACAAGATATTATTACTCCTTGAAACTCTTATACTAGTATATATTACACATTCTGTAAATATTGAGGTAAAACTGAATTATGGTGCAAAGTTCTATTTTAACATTTTGTAAACTATGTCATTTCAGACATATTATTATTTCCAAACACACTTATTATATTTTCACTTAACTATAAACGTAAAACCAATTTTAGCTGTGAGTATTGTGTGTAATTTTAAATTCTCAATATTACCTACAGTAAAACTGCAAGATTATATCAAAAGGGTTGTTTTAAGCTTCTTAACACCTTCTACAGAAGACTAACTCTATTTATAGGTAGAGGGTTTT